TAAAATTATAAATTCTATTTACATACAAATACTAAAAAAAATTCTTAATATGAAAAAGTTACATAAAATATGTCCGCTAAAAACTGTATGTCCTTAGCGACTGTTTGAGTTGCTTTCTCTCTGGCCGTCCAGACGATGACAGAGATCCGATTTTGACAAAGAGTAGTACAGCGTTGTATTGTCACGCTTCGTTGCTACTTAAGGAACATTTGAAAGCCGGCGGAGCTAGTGGTGGTAGAAATTGGATACGTTGTATCCACTGGAGGCTCTGGGATCCAACGTTCTTCAAACCTATTTCCATCTCCTCAGACATCAGCTACATTAATTGCTTCACTTTAATCTGAAATTTCTGTAAACTAAATTGATTTCACTACACAATAAATTGAAAATTCTCCTTTTTAGTAAGATGAAGTTCATTGTATCGAACTCTATCACTGAGGGATGTAATAACTCCATCTTGCTTCTAGGTCCTTGCGGCTATGGAAAAGCTGTTGTATTTTCCTTCAACCTGCTTCTATATATGATGTGGCATTTGATTTGTTGATTTTTGAATAGTCTTCAGGTATTGAAACTCGTTGTAATATCAGGTTATAAGACTTACACACATAAATATTTTTCATATATTCTAATAATTCAATTGAACCCTATGATGTTGTAAACCGTTGTATTTTAATTAAAATAACCCTATAATGTTATTAACAAATAGGGGAATAGTTAAAATACATTTTCCAAAAATTAAACCAAATGTTTAGATCTTTCGAATTAAACAAGATGAGAAGCCATATATCTTGTCGCCATTTAGTCAATAAAAAAACAGGAGTGAAGTTTACTTCAAAGGCAAAACAGATTAACAACAAATAAAAAGTATGCTTCAGATTAAATGTGACTATCTTATGTGCTTCAAGTTCAACTAGAGTAAAATATCTTATTATATAAAGAAGAGTTTTCTTCCCTCTTGTGATGCCACGTCAGTAATTCATTCATTCTGAAAGCGTCATGTGGCAGGGAAGTTAAAACTCATTGTTTCATTTATCTGGTCGTTTTTCCGTATAGGCTGCTGATTTCTAACCGGCCTGATGCTTTTTTGGGGGACCTTTCCACTGGCATATAACATATGTGGGACGATGGAAACGCTGCGTTTTTAGAAAACATGATAGATGAGGAACTCCATCTCCGCAAAACTCAAACTAGGGTTTCGACTTTCGAGATCGTTGTTTCGTAATCTTAAGAATATCAAAGAGTTTGAGAGCTACGGATTCAAGCCATTAATTTCATCCTTTTAAACCATTCGCCACGATCTTTCTCTAATGCGGACTTCTTACTTGCAAGGCGGTGGAACTGTGGCTATAAAAGGTAGGCGTCTGTAATCTGTAAATCATCTCATCATACAACCTATTATCATCATTATTTAGACATGGCTAACGTCAACAGTATGTATGCAAACAGCAGTCGCAGGAGCTATAGGTATGGATGCAAAGCCGAAATCCATCGTTCTCACCAAGTACCGCCAGCTGTCTATTCTAAAGGATAGCAAGCATAAGCTCTACAAGGTTTAGTTTTTAATTTTTTCTTTTTTTTTTTGCGTTTGAACTCCGCAAAAGGTTCTACCGCAAAAGGTTCTACAAAGCAGTTAATTACATATTTATAATTTTTTTAAGATGTTATAACGATCATGATGAACAAAAGGTTCTAAAGAACTATGTTGCAGTTTCTGCCTCTTATTACTACTTATAAATTTCATTCTTATAATTTTCCGAATGCCTCTTTTTACTACTTTTTCTAATTTCTAAACCCAAATTTTCCAGATCCAAATTGTTAAATGGCTGTGGGTAGAGAATGCAGATCGATGGTCGCTGGATTTCTGTAAATATCTGAAGAAAGTTGCCATAAGATGGTAAGTAGAATTGCGAGACACTATCAAGTTTATACTAATGTTCTGCGCAAGCTTTTATTATAAATAACAAATGCCTTAAACGTTATTAGAGAACTGCAATCAGAGACAATATCCAAGAGAGGTTAATCAGACATAAGACAACTTCCCAGAAACAAACCGGAGAATGATGATGATGATGACACAAACGACCAGTTCTATGAAGAATAAAAATATTTCAAATATGACATTGGCAGTGACGAAGATGAAAATGAAGGATCCTATGACGAGGAGAAAGATGTTGAAGAACTGGAGAAATTTGTTAAAAGGGATGCAAAAGATAACAAGTAAGGTCAAATTAAGATCACTTTGACCATATTTACTAAATTCCCTTAGTCTCTTAGTCAATCTCACTTTGTCTCAGTAAAATGCTGACGGTGATGTGTGTGATTTTTGTAATAATATCAAATGTTTCTTTCCTGGATTGCAGGCAAAGAAGCTCTCGAGCTTGAGAACTATCTGATGAGGAGGTCATAGATGGTGTCTTCACAACTATCTCTTGCTTGACAGACGATGAAGTGAAAAGGGCACTGCAAAAAATTCGAAGGCCTTGGTTAAAGACATTGTGCATGATAACAATGATGTAAGTCTTGAAAAACACAAAGGTATTGAAGAACAAAAGGAGAGGTGACACTCTATTCCGCGCTATTCATATTTCCCGGTTGGATCAAGCGGGGAAGACCTACAGTCCATGGCAGAACCATTGCCAAGGGCTAACAATGGAAGCAACACGTAGAACCCATTACTCCACAATTCATGGTGTTTACGTTAGTGGTTTCAGGGAAGCCAATAAGCTTCTCAAGCATTAAAATGTGAATTTTGAGTGTTAATTTAAAGACTTAATTAACTAACTAAACACTTCATAAAATCACATTAAACTTAAAATGTGTTTACTATACACAAAAATAAACACATATAGGTAAAAAGTTAATTTTTCAAAGAAACATTAAAGATTTCCAAAATCTAACACTAAGAATACATACAATACTGTAACATATGTTTTCAAACCCTAAACCAAAGAATATCATGATCAACTAACAATGGACAACTTATTATATATAGAACCATCGGGATTTCATTGGTTCATAAAAATAAACAAAAAGAAAGTAAAAAAAATAATCACTCATTTATGTTGAAAACTATTCAGTTTTATTATATCTTAAATTACATCACGTAAAACTATTTATAATTACATGATCTTAATTTTTCACTTGTCAAAATATTTTTTTTTTTAAATTATAAAGTATTTTTAAGATCAACTATATCAAACGACTAACTTGGAAGTCATCTAGACGACTTCCAACATCTAAGACGACTTGTTGGGGCTATATTCATAAAAAAATGACTTCTGTTTTTATGTTTGGTCACAAGAGACTGGCTGTAATTTCACTTTTAGGTTAGTTTTCATTTGATTCAAGTTTGGGTATAAATTTGCATGTAAAATCATTTTTGAGTCATATTTGGAAAATTCTTATTAATATTTGTATATTTTTCTCTATCAAAAATTTAAACCGTTAATCCCAAAGGTTTTAATGTGAGATTGTTCTAATATGAATTTCAAAATTTAAATATTAAGATCTCAATAAATTTTCACTGCAAATTTTGAAATTAACAGATTTATATATTTTACATAATGTATAATTTAATTTTAATAATATATATATAATATGAATATCTATTAATGAGACTTAAATTCATATGATTGATAATCATTTGTATCTTATTTAAACAAAAAAAATTAAACCATTGATCAAAAAATTTCAATGTGGGACTTTTATTATTTTTAGTAAGAGAAATTCTCTAGGATAGACCGCAAAAGTTTTGGCTATGAAGAACAAGACATACAATCTGGAAAAGTTATGGATCAGACTCATGGACGACTTAGGCTAATTATCAGCCTAAAAAGGTCAATATCCAAGCTGGGGATCCCTTTTCTTTTCCTGAATGGACAGCCACGAAAATCAAGTCAAGAAGTCAGAAAAATAACTATTATTTAGTTTTCAAAACAATTTAAGTTTAATTAATTTTTTCTTATTTTCTACAATTTTAGGAATTTTCGATATCCTTCTCTTCTACATATACTCTAGTTTGCTTCTGAATAAAACATTCACCTTTTTTTGTCAAAATATCTCTAAAACTGTGAATCACTTGTTCATCTTTGAACACTGATCATTGCTAAAAAGTTCATCCTCTGCAAGCAAAACCTGTCTTTGACTGATATCAGAGTTCATTCTCTTGATCAAAGACACATCTATCCAAGAGTTGATCAGTTCATAGATCTTTACTGAAGTTCATCAACCATTATTTACTTCTATCCATTAATACCATCACCATCGTTTATTCAAACTAGTTGATCATCCTTCAAAAGAATCAGGGAGAAAATAATCTCCTCACCAGGGATTCATCAAATGGTATCAGAGTCAGCCAGAATTTCTTCCTGTATGGTAGCCTCGAAAATCAAGTCAAGAAACCAGCCAAAATAATAAATATTTAGTTTTTAAAACAATTTAAATTTTAATTAAGTTTTTCTTATTTTCTTTGTTAATTTGGAACGTAGACAAAGAAAGTATTAATTTAGAATCATTTAAACGCGTTTATTAGTATTTTATATTCATGTGTTGTTGAAAATGTGCTATCTTGACTCTTGAGTTTCTTTTATGCAGTTGAACCAGTCCAACTTCATTTTTTTTCTCCTCTATAGACTATAGCATATAAATAATACGTCTTCTTGAGAATAAGTTGACTGTTGAAGTAGTTTTTCCAAGACCACAAAACTATATTGTATAACGAAAAAATAAAAAAATTAATTACATAGTTTTGGCGTTTCATCATCCTAAACTAGAAGACAATTATTCACATACAAACTTTTGGCCCATGGGCCAAGATGATAATTATATATCTTGACTTGTAAGATGAGCGGACATACGTTTCCGTGATATCCGCAGTTCAGTAAACCCTAAAAAACTATATTTCCGTATATAAACACTGAAAAAAACTTCCTCTTTACACAGTTATCTTTCTCTAAAACTTTCTCTCTAAAGTCTTCCAACAATCAAGATCTTCAACCGCCATGGGCGGCATAGATCCACCGCACGATGAAGAGATGAAGAAGCCATCACCGGAGACAGAACCGAAAAGGGATATGTCGATCCTATCACTTCCCGACGATTTGCTAATAAACTGCATATCACGCGTCTCAAAACTGTACTATCACAACCTGCCCCGCGTCTCCAAACGTTTCTGATCAATCCTCCGTTCGCCAGCGCTTTACGCAACCCGATCTCGCCTAAAAGCCGAGAAGTGTATCTATCTTTACATACGCTTCCCTCTTGATCCGAAAACGTACTGGCTCACTCTAACCCGTCTTCCTAGTCGTATCATAGCCAATAGATCAAGTGGCTATTACGTGGAGGAGATCCCATGTCCAAACTATTTGTGTTCTGCTCAGTCGTCGACCTTCGTGTCCGTTGGATCTGATATCTACAATATCAGTGGCGCTAACCATTTGCATGAATGCAAAATCTGGAAAAGGAACTATTGTTCAAGTGTCTTTGTCCTTGATTGTCGCACTCACACGTGGAGCCAGGCTCCGAGCATGGGAATGGCGCGTAACGAAAATGCCACAGCAAAGTTTTTTGATGGGAAGATTTATGTGGCTGGAGGATGTGATGAAAAGTACGTGAGTAACCCTAACTGGATCGAAGCGTTTGATCTGGAGACGCAAACTTGGGACCCTGTGACAAACCCTCGTATTTTTAGACTGTGGGAGGAGGATAAAGTTAAGGGTTTTGAAGCCAAAAGCGTATCACTTGAAGGGAAGCTCTACATTTTTGGGGATGAGGCTGCGGTGTACAATCCAGAGGACGGTAGATGGTTAGAGGTAGGAAAGGACGTCTGTCGTATGTGGTGGGCAGCAACTGGGTGTCATTGTGTGATTGATGATGTCTTTTTCTTATGGGATAGACATAGAAGAGTGTTTAAATGGTATGACTCCAAGTCAGATTCATGGAAGGAGTTGAGTGGTATTGAAGGGTTGCCAGAACTTTCGCCCAACTCTAGAGTCTGTCAAGTGAAAATAGTGGATCTTGGTGGAAAGATTGGGTTTTTGTGGAATCAGTATTTGTATACCGGGACCAATAATGAGTGTAGGATCTGGTGTGCTGAGATTACGGTTGAAGATGGAGATGAGATGTGGGGGAAGGTTGAGTGGTTTGATTATGTGCTGAGAACCCACGAGTCTTGTTCTTCGTTCCATGTTGTTTCTGTTTCTGTTTGATGTATTTTACTTTTCATTAGAACATGCTTTGAATACTTGCGTTTTCTTTTTTCAGTTTTTATTGTATGATTATGACGAATGTTTGTTTCGTGTTTTTGGGTCAATGCTATTTTCATTATTTCACTCATAGACATATGGTTCAAATATATATTTTTTTTTTATATTTTCTCTTTTGAGGTATCTCCCTTTGGTTGATATTTGACTCGAATGAATTATTGTTTCATGTTTTTAGTCGAGTACGAATTGCATTTGTTTTACTCTTAATTGCTCATGATTTTTTTTTTTTTGTTATGGCGGATGGAGCAAACTGTTATTTATGTTGCATGGAAACAAATGATACTTTTCTTATTACTTTCACCAGGATAAGTAACACAAGATGCATAGCTAGTGTTTTGTTTGTCTATAGTACTCTATCCTTTTGGTTTTCTCATTGATGAAATCACGAGTGGTCAAGTTGCATAACAGAGGATGTTTGCTGTGTGAGGTAAACCTATCTATATTCATGTCTTGAACAAACCAAAAGACTGTAGTTTGGTCGTCACTGAAACATTCTATGGATCCTATGAAACATTGTTTTTTTCTTCTGAATAGAATGTTCACTATTTTCATGGTTAATGACTCACTGATGAACTTGCAGAAAGTTCTCTTATCATAAAAATCGGATGTTTTCTTTCACCTTTTTGGTCAAGAGGAAAAGATGAAAAATTAATCAAACAAACAGTATTCACAACAGCCAAAACTAGGCACAGACTAGCTCTGGTGAAACAGGAACTCGTAAGCTGATGAGATGTTACCGGAAACAAGAACTAGAAACCATCCGGACAATGCAAACACCGTAGAGATTTGGTATATGTCAAGTAAATAGTCTTCTTCCTATCTTTATGAATTCAGTTTAGTATTATGAACTTGTAATAACTAAGTGGGTGAGAATATTACTTATATAGCAAATAGAAAAACAAAAACTGGATTGACCGTAGAAAAGGAAAGAATAAATGGCAAGTAGGAGAGACGGTGCTGGTGTAATTCATGAGCAGCTGTGACATTTCAGCTGTCCTCGTGAAACCTGTTTGTCGTTTGTTCCATCTCCCAATGATAATTACACAAACGACAAGTCTACTTTTTAATACTCCAATTTAAAATCACTATATACATAAAAGGGTTTTCTGGAAAAAATCCTCAATGTAATTTGTTTTTGCAATTTAATCCACCAATTCAAAAACCTATGGATTAACCTTCTAAATCCCAATCAAATCGCAATATAAACCATCTATGTATTGATGACGTGGAAACCGCTTACTATTTAACATAATTCAAAACTACGTCGTTTTTTTATTAAGAATTCAATGAAAACAAAAACTGAATTTCTAATCAAACTGTAATATAAACCATATGTGTATTGATGATGTGGAAACCGTTTACTATTTAACAGAATTCAAAATTACGTCGTTTTGATATTAAAATTTAAACTGAACTCGATCCCATCACCAAAACACAACTTGGATGCTCGCAAACCAACTCAACTATCAGATACACTCATAAGTTATTACTAGACGAAACCATATATACACTAATTGTTGTTGTGGCCTGAAACATTTAACTAAAAAGTGAATCTGCGGGGTATTCGAACTCGTCACCCTGGCCCAATTTACCAGACAAGCAAACCAACTCGCCTATCAGATATACTTGAACAAAATAACGACAAATCATATATAGTGGATGTGTTTCTTTGACCTGAATATGTACAATCATTGAAACTTCTTCCCTTTTCTTTAATTTTGCTTATGTGACCTGAAATAAAATGATCTTAATCAAACAATATAACAGCTTACACATATGCACATTTAGCATCAAAAGTCTTACACAAGGTCTTTGACCAAATGCTCAAAAAACCATAACCAGTTATCTTTATTTTCAGTCTCCACAATGGCCCATGCAATAGAGAAAGTCTGTTCATTAGGATATCTTCCACAAGCAATTAGTAACATTCCATTCATTCTCCATTTCAGAAATGTACCATCAATGTGGATAATCTTCCTACAAGCACTCTTCCACTCATCTTTAAGCGCCTAAAAACATACATAAAACCTATAGAATCTTGTTTGTCTCACCTCACATTCACCTGTAGACCCAGGATTTGTGCTTTTCAATTCCTCCACATAGCCAAACAACTTTGCAAACGACTCAGTTTGCTCATCATCAAACTACTGCAAGCATTTCAGTCTTGTCTTTTCACAAATGGTTTCTAACACATTAATGTTGCGTTTTTGAAGCTTTTCTGCAATTGAGTAGCTGAGATATTCAGATTACTTCTGAATTCCTCAATGTATATATCGGCAAGTCTACTATTTGTCAACAAAGACACTTTTCCCTGCCATGTGCAATTGTGCTCTCCTTGGTATGCTCTAACAACAACTCTAGTGCTGCTGCTGTTAATGGAACCTGAGATCCTCCATGGGCATTTGTTTTCCGAGCAAATTGCCACAACACTCTTACTATCAGACTTATCAAACTTGATATCACTCCTATTCCTCACAACATATTTTTTATAGCTGTTTTGAAAGCTGATATGTTTGAAAATTGTTGTCTCAACATGAATATTATCGGATTATCATCAACTACCAAATCACCATATTCACTATCACTAACTCCTAAAGGATCATCATGCTCTATCATACCAACTCTCTCATCAGTCGCAGAATCCCTAGAAGAGTCATTTACCTTATCATCCTTATTCGCACTCTCATTCCCACTATCATTTTCATCCTCAACATCATTCAACGAACCTCTCATATTATGATGCCTACCCATATAAGGATCATCTTCTTTAACGATAAACAACATCATTGCTCCAGACCCAATTGAATAATGAACTACTTTGATCATTATCTCGTCATTAGTTATGTCTTCTTTTTTCCCAGGAGATTCAGGTGGAAACCATGATATTTTGTTCATATTGTCTTCATACCTTATATATTCCACTAGTGTGAGAACCGATTGCAAGGTAAAACTATCAGCTGCTCTTTTACTCCCTTCATGAACTTCACCTCCAAAATATCCGTCTTTGCTACTCCAATATCCACCACAACGTAAATAAAGGTCAAAACTGTAAGAAAATAGTTCATCAGTGAGAAAATAAAGCAATATATCAAGAGATCAGTAGATTCAAAAAAATTCAATGTCTTTCGTTACTAACCTCAACGCCATGGTCGTTTCTCCGCTCAATTCACTTAAATAGAGTACAAAACTAACGAAATTGCCTTAAATTATCATTAGTCCTAAAATCAACTGAAATTTTAAAGATTGAGTAGAAAGTCTCAATTTCCCGCACTATGAACCCTAATTCACGATATAGAATCTCCAAATGACTTTTTTCCTGTTTAAAAACGACTTTAATTGGAAAATATGCAGTTAAAGTAACGAAATAAATTATATATATAAGCTTGCGTTTGTTAAATTAGTGAATGTATCTCATAGACGAGTTGGTTTCCTTGCTTGATAAATTGAGCCGGGGTGACAGGTTCGAATTCCCGCTGATTCACTATTAGTTAAATGTTTCAGGTCACAGCAACAATTTGTGTATATATGGTTTCTCTAATAATAGTATACGAATGTATATGATAGATATCTGATAGTCGAGTTAGTTTGCGAGCATCACAAGTTGTGACGTGGTGATGGGTATTTTTTTAATAAAATTTTTAATATCAAAACGACATAATTTTGAATTATGTTAGTCAGTAAACATCTGCCACATCATCAATAGACGGATGACTTATATCTCGGTTTGACCCATAGTTTTTTTATTTGGTGAATGAAATTTTAAAAGGATACCAAATATGATAAACACAATATTTATTCATGAAAATGCCAGTAATATATAAACACATAACTTTAAAATCTAAAGCGGAATTATTTTTGCACATGAAAATATTTAGTAAAAGTAGATTTTTTGTGTATAACTTTTATTAAAATTAATTTTTGTCTATATTTTTTTTGTCTAAGTTTATATTTTGATCTTGAGAAATAATTTTTTTTCTCTTTTCTCAATTTTCTTTCAAAAATTCTTCACAGAAAAGAGATGAGATTAAATTTTTGTGACCATCGATTGGACTCATCCTCCAGTGTCAGATTTTTCTGACCGGTCTTGTCTCTGGCGATGCATCTTCTCTTTTGTTGGCCATTCGAATTTGCCTTTGGCATTTCTCTTTCTTCAAGATGGGACAGTTGGCTTTTGTCTCCACATCTCTCTTTCCTTGATTTCTGATGGCTGCTTTATCCACTGAGATTTCCTGGTTCTAGTTGATTAAAAGTTCTTTTGGGTGATTGATTTTTGATTCCGAGTTAAAATCGTGAGGTGTGATTGGGTATAACTCTTGTCTTCAGTTTGATGATTCGATTCAATTAAATGAGATCTCAATAGCCGACGAAGCTCTCTGATGATGATGTTAAAGTGGTGAAGCCAAGCAAGATGGAGGTTCTAGATTTCTTAATCCTGTGGTTCACCGATTGTGTTCTGGTGGAAGTCTGACGGATGGTTCTTGCGACGCGTGTTTCCGAGGTGTTGAAAATTTTGACATGTGTATGTTTCATGTAATATTTTCGACGCGTGTGCCACTTTTTTCGTTTGATTTAATAAATGGACTTAAGGCCCAAATGATGATGATAGTTAATAGGTCATTTTGTTTCAGGTTTTCTATGTTTTTTAGCTTTGTAAATTAAGTGATTTCGTCTTTGAAATTTAAACCTTTAACAAAAATTCAGATGACAAAGAAATATATAAAAAGTTTACGTTTCGTACATAAATTTTGAACAAAAAAAACTTAAATTTACATCAACTATATGTAACCTATCGTACACTAGTTATAGTCTGTTTTATGATATGATAATATATAGAAATACGTTAATATGTTCTTCAACCTATATTATACTAAATAAACTAGGTGGTTTCGTGCACCATGTGCAGAAATAAAAATTTTAAAAATATATTTATATTTAAAAGTAAA